GCGGTCCCGGGACTGGCTGTACGAGTCCTACTACTGCATGAGCCAGCAGCACCCGCTGATCGTCTTCCTGCTGCTCATCGTCATGGGCGCCTGCCTCGCCCTGCTGGCTGTCTTCTTCGCGCTCGGGCTGGTGAGTGGCCTCCCCGCTGCTTTGGCCCCGCGCGTTCCGGGTCCCCAGGAAGGACCTAGCCCGCGACCACGTCCCGCCGGGGTCTGCGCTTGGGGCTGCTGGCTGCTCCGCCTGCCGGCCCGCGGCCGGCCTAGTTGGAGCAGGGTTGCGGGCAGGGAAAAGTTTCCTTGGAAGGCTTTCTTTGCCCAAAATAAAGTTGACAGGGTGTTCGCCAGGTGGACGGGCAGAACGTGTGGATTTTACCTCTCTGCGCACCCGCTGGCAAACTCCTCTGCGCTCTGCTCCCCGGCCGCTGCCCGCAACATCCGCTCAATAGGTCTCCACAGAATCAGCCCTCGGGCTTCTTGGAGCGTCCGCTCTTGCCTCCATTCCAGTCCACTGACAGCCCCTGAGCTGGGGTTTCAGTTAGGTCTGGGCATTTTTCACCTTTTCAAAAGCCTGCCTTGGGAAAGTAGCTAGCTAATGGCAAGAGAAATGCAAAAAGATATGACAAGATACGATTGCACACCTTTGCCTTTAAATCTGTTTCTGTTTAGCCCAGAGACAGAAAGTGATGGAGTGTTGAGCGGTTGCACATTTCACATCTTAGGAGACGTCAATGAAGCAGCATTTCAGACGGACCCTCGCTTTTTTTTTTTTAAATTTCTGGAGGGGTAGTCAACGTATCTACAGTTTCGTGCAGGTTATTAAAGTCCATTTCATCACTAGGAGCATAATGCAGCTCAACAGCTAATGCCAATTTTGCCAGTTTTTATTTTTCAACAGAAATCCTTGGCACACTCCCTTAAACAGTGAGAGGAAATCTGTAGATGGCGGTAACTTCCTGTTACTGATCTCTCCTGAGTGTGTGGTTCAAAGTTTTGCACTGCCCATGGTATGCGTGTGCAGATTGTGTGCAAGCCTCCGATTATTCAGGATTTTTTTTTTTTGATTCATGATTGTGCTGGTAATGCCTCCACTGAATGATAAATTTTGATCTTAGAGGGCAAATATATGCTCATATTTATTTACCTCCAGGAGCAAAGAAGTGGATCTTGCTTATATTTGACTAAATGCTCAAAATAGCTGTCTCTGGTATTTGATAATTTGTTTTGGGTATCCTAAGCCAGATGGTGCTCACATATTATGCATGGGAAGAATGTTACCATCATGTTTTTTTTTTAAAAAAATAATTTCTTCTTTCTATATACTACTCAATGGTTGCTGTATTCATAGTGAGTTCCAGAGATAAGGAGAGCAAATCCAGTGTAGGAGGCTATGACGTCACAGGTCACAAAGTGGTCCTTGTATGCAATGTAACTGCTTCCTGTAGTCTTACTGTGGCTAGAGAGACGCCCCACACCCTCACATGGAACCAGCCTTGAATATCCTGGAAGAGCATCTCTGTCACTCTTTACTGCTTTTAGGATAAAAAGGACTTGGAGAGAGATTTCTGTCAAGTCTCATTGGGCAAGCAGTCTCTAAAGACATGTTCTTTTTGTTCCTCTACTTGCAGGGAAGAAAACATGAACGACTTTTCCTTTGGAAATCTATTCTGCCAGGGCATTTGTGCTTGCGATTCTCCCGAGCCTGTAATTCTAACTGTTCTGGCTTGTTCTTTTCTAAATGGAAAGAAGGAGCAGCAGGTGATGGCCTATTTATAGTACCATTAATACAGTTAGACAAGTGTGAAGTTCATGTTCACTGTGCACATTACTTTATTTTCTATGATGGAACACTTTAATTCTTAAACCTCATTGATATAGATGTTCTTGGATGGGTCAGTGAGATATTTAGTGAAGTGGGGTTTGAAGCACCTTTCTCTGAGCTGTCTTTGTTCTTCATATTTGTGTTTCTGTAAAAACTTCCTTTATGTTCTGTTTGGCTTGGCACAAATGTGGCATAGTATCCTTTTAAAACTTTATCCACGGCCTCTTTATTATTCTTTGATAGCCATCATTTCCACTCCTTCTTTGCTGAATCACTTGAAGCACAGAGTGGGCATTCCCCATGGCATGTCTGTCACCCAGGGGGATGGACAGTGGAATGGAACCTGCTTTCTGCTATACCCGTCCATGGTCTCATACCTACTGTGTAAATCCTTAGCAGTGATGAGCTGTGTGGAAATGTTCCCATAGAGGGTGGTTGGATTGACTGGATGTGGTAGGCTCTTTTCAGATGGAGGTGTGGCTGCAGGGCCGTTTGGAATGGGCAGTGTCTGGGAGATATAGGTGCTGTCTTACAAATTGCACTGTAGAAAGCACTGGGATAATTCTGAGCTCTCAATAGCTCATTTCCATTTTGTTTTTAGTAATAGCACAGCCAGCAGCTCTACTTTTCAAAAGACATTCTCCCTCTGGATAGTCAAAGAGAGCTGGTGGTAGGAACACTGAAGATGGAGTGGTGCTACTTTAGAGCTGCGTGTACATGGGTGGGGATGAGTTCATGTCCCTGAATGAGCAGAGATTGGCTTCTGAAAGGTCTGACTTTGGGGTGGAAGGACTGTGGCTGCTTTGGGCCCTGCCGCGTTTCCTACCTTGGAGCACTTTGCTGGAATAGCTGGGCTCTCATGTAATTCAGGAGTGAAGCAGATCTATTTTTGCTCCCTGAAATCTTGGACGGATTCCTTCCTTCCCCTGAATCTGCCTGGTTTTCATTTCCATTAGACTTTCATCAGTTCTTGTAGTAGAGGAAGTCTGGCAGTTTTCTTAATGCACCTTCCTGGTCTCCTAGAACATTTGGATTACAGGATGGTTTTAGCATATCCCAAGTACATAGAGATTTTTTTACTATAGGTAATTGCCTTTGTATGAAGGGATTTGAAATATATATTAAAAGGGGGTGGGAAGCAAGCTTTGTTTTGATTTTCCTTATGTTTTTTCCTAGTTGAAATTGTTCAAAAAATGACTTCAATTCTTCAATCTCTAGTTGATCCATGATTCTGCTTTATTGACTATGAAGTTAAAGTGATCCTCAGAGTAGTTTTACTATTCTGTAAAAATAAAACCTGAATTGAAACTTTGTAATCTTGCATAGTTCATTATTTTTTACATAAAAATCTACAAAAATTCATTTTAGTCCATACTTGTTAAGAATTATCCAAATACAGGAAACAAAATGAATAGAAGACAGGATGATGAATATTAAAATTTCACATTCTAGTTAATAATATTTTCTATTGCTTTGTATGGAAAATTTTAGTTTAAAGTTCGATTTAGATTTTTTTCTACATCCACTTATTGAGTGCCTATCAAGTGTCAGGCACGGGAGAGTCTGGTGGGAAGAGCAAAATAAGCTTGACCCCTGAACCAGAAAACTTAGAACTAGTGAGACCACACCAAGTCATACATCTATCATCTCATGTTGTTTTTGAGAGCTGGTTCTCATCTGTGAATGCATAAGAACTCCTCTTTAGAACAAAATTCTCTCATCTATGATGTCTCAAATCAGCCAGCTTTTCTCAAAACTTGCCTGTCATTGTTAGGAAAGGTTGATATCCATTTTTTAGTTTGTCAGAATACCAGCTGGTTGCAGCCAGATTTGTTTGGGTAAAGTTTATGATTAGGAATAGTCAATATCTCAATTTGAATAGAACTGTTTCTTCCCATAAATTTTATGTCAGTTACTTCAATAAAATCATTTTTATTATTGATTTAACATTATCATGAAATAAAGGCTGGCATTTTTATTAAATAAAAGTAGGTATACTATGCAGGACTGGGAATGTGACACCTTTTTTATGCTGATGGAGTGAGCTGGCTTTTAAGAAGGGAACCATAAGTACTTTTCATTATCAATCAATTTTCCAGCATTAGGTGTTTTTTTCTAAGGGTAAATATATCTGACTCTTATCTCATCCTTCATACAAAAATAAAAGTCAGACAGTATTTTACTACTAATAAATAATATTATTTTTCCAAAATAAACAAACGAACCCTATCATTTGATAAGTGGAAGCAAGCTTTATTATTTCAATCTTTCAGTACCCCTAGTGGATGGAAGACACCCTCTTCTTGAAAGGTTGAAGATTGGGAAGGCACATAGATACACCCCAGATCTCCCCTAAGGATTAGGAAGTTCTGTGCTTTCTTTCTCGAGCGTCAAATCCTGGGAGCGGAAAAGAATAGAGCATGTTCCTAGGTACTGGAGCAAAGGTGGCTAAAGACACATCTTTTTGTTCATTTCTATACATGCCGGAGAATATTGCTCCGCAGGTGTTAATCATTTGCAACCAGTAATTCACTAAGTCATTTCAGTTATAATTTACCTGTGGCATAAACAAAAACCAGGGAAAAACTGTAATTTTCTGCAGGAAAGGTGGTTGCAATTTATAGGAGTAGCAAAAAAAAAAAAAATCTCAAAGAAACTGGAGGTATCCTTTTGATATTAAAATACATGCTTAAGACTAGAGAGGCAACTCAGTGGTAGACCACTTGGATTTGATCCTCAGTACCTGAAACATTTTTTTTTTAAGAAAAAGAAAAAAAATTCATGATTAAATTCAACTTGCCTTCCCTGTTGTGAAAACACTGTAGGCTATAATGGTTAAGAGCATTTATGTATGTTGGGATTCTGGCTTTGTCCCTTTCTGTGTTTCCACTTCTGGGACCTTGGGCAACTTGTTTAATTCCTGTTTCCTTGTTTGTAAAATGGAATGGCACCTGCTTCATAAGGCCATGATCCAAGTTAGTACATGCAAGAAAGTCCTTAGACACAGAAGGAGCCCCAAGGTCTGTTAGCTGAAGGCATTTTCCTTGTTACTGTGAAAGAAGGCTGTAGCCATGTTGCTTTAGGGCTGGAGTTCTACAGATGGGAAAACTGAGGCCCAGAAAGCAAATGAACTTCTTCAAGGTCATGCAGCTGCATAGTCGGGACCGGGTCACAGGGCATTGGCTTTTTCTGAGTAACTTCTCTAGAAAGCATTGGAGATCTGGATTCCCAGTTCTTGTCTGGGCACGATGGTCGTCTTTGTGGAAATTCCTCCTTATGTGAAAATCCTCAATCTTCATTCTGTGTGACAA